CTTTCATGTCATCATTCTCTTCCCTGCAACTTTTCGCTTTGCTTATCATTTCGGTTCACAACTTGTGTTTGATTGCATTCTAAAATATTTACACAAATTACTTGTGGATTGATTTTCATTGAACCGTTCATTGATTGCCACTGCCAACCATTTGGATCACGAATACACACAGCACAACAAATATAGATGCAAAGGACAATCAAATGTTGATATCTTCTTAATTCACTCGCATTTATTGTCTCATGTACGAGTATAGGTTGGACAGTTCATTCGCTTCCCAGCTGCATTCATCCATACATACATACATACATACATACATACCTACTTACTTATTTCCATACAAATATTAATTGACCTGTTCAGTTTTCATTTTTTATGTTTCTGTTTTAATTTCAATAGATAACTTCCGGCACTTAAATTTAGATTTGATGAGCTGCTTTTAGTGCATGTCGAAGTTCGATTAGTGGAGATTTCAAGAATCAGGAAGTTATTTCATATGCACGTAAAATGGCGACGAGTTAGGTTAATTATCCAGTTTAATATCTTGGGCAATTTATATTTTTATGGGAAAGTATTTTTTGGTTCGTCGTTGTTAGCTTTTTATTCGAGTCCACTCATCCGATTGTATTTCTGACTTGAAATAAAAGCTCCTATTAAAAACGCATTGGCTCCTCCGAGGCGGCTTGGAATAAACTGCATGCCTCCTCATTTTTTTAAAAATCCAGACGCAAACTACAAATTGGGAGAGAAGCTCAAAAACGCCTCAGCCTTTCCAAAGACGCAATTATATATGTATTATGCTCCGTTTTGCTTGATAACTTGTTGTCCTTTTGAAGGAAAAGTCATTTTGTCCCTCTCATGGAAATTTTTGTCCCTAATATTTGCAATAGACATATGCTAATTATTTGGTATGTGGTCCGGATTATAGGATTGATGTATAAGAACCTCCCAACCAAGTCAGCACTATTGATGTATGTAGTCTGGCGTTGTGCCGATGGAACCCTATGCTCCTCCTGTTGTTCAAAGCTGGGAGCTTCAGAGCGATTTCTTCCTTCAGAGCACAAAAAAACCTTCTTGGCCAACAATCCTGGTTTGGAGAACGTTTGTACCCGCACTGCCCTTGGGCGACGAACGCTTTCATTTGAGGTTACTGTCACCACTCGCTTTAACAATGTGTCGATTTTGTCACGATTCAACAATAGTATGCAGAGGGAAACTCGGTCGATGAGGTTTTTTCTTATTTCTTCCCCTTTTTTGTGTATCCTGCCTTGTTGAAGTGATTCCAAAATATTTTTTGTGTAATATGACGGTCAGAGCCAATAATTTCCATTTCATTGCATAAAGCCATCAGAGTTCCAACAAATCTATTTGATCTGATCTAGCCTCAAACTCGAAACGATCTCACAAATATATTCGAAACGATCTCACAAACATATTCGAAAACTGAAAGTTCTCCACCTCGAACAATGTCGTCGTCGTTTAGGCATTTATTTTGGCTAGAACAAACCACAATACCATCAAACCAATTTCATTATCACTACCAGCCTAACAATCATTAGTTCTTACCCAACTTTCAAGGACATGACAGAAAACACATTTCAACTTGCAAATCCCCCGACTAAATCAGAGCGAGCTCATAACTATCCAATAACTTCAAATGTATAAAGAAGCAACAAAAAAGCATTAAACGGAAGTTTCTGCCATTTACGCACATGCATGTGAATATATATTTGAATATTATAAATATATATACATATGTATGTACGTGTACGGTACAAACTGTTCTGCGTTTATTTTTATTTTCTCATATTTGCTGAATTTACAGAAGTTGTTTCTATCACTGTGGCATGACATAGTTGCTATGACATAATGTATACATACATATGTACATATATATGTATAATTCATGAATACAAACCAACAGATTTTGAATGTGTGCAATAAAGATTTCTTAGCAACCGGCTCGACGCATAGCGGACGTGCCTCCCCGTAGCCAGAAGCTGTATTCTCCGTTAAGTTTTTTTTTTACTTTATAAAGCTAAATTGTTTTATGCTCGGTTGCTTGCGGATCTGCTGAATTTGTTTTTAAAGCTGGTTAGCTAAATAACTAATACTGTATAAAGCGTGAATTTACATGTTGGCGAATATTTATGTATTTCACACTCGTGCCACACACAGGGATGGACGATGAGTGCCGCCCCCTCATATGCCTGCGCTGTCTTGCTACGCGTCTGCATGTCTAAACTGGCGCTTACTCTTGTTCCACATACAGTAGAGAAATTTTTACTGAAAATATCGTAATAAAAATCTTTTTTTCTATGCTTTTTGCGTTATTTTCCAGTTTCTTCTACTTATAGTTTTCGGCTGTTATAGAAATATCATATAACAATTTTAAGTTTATGCATAAGTTTGTATGTATGTATTTATTTATACATGTACTTTGTTGGTTAAATTAAAATAATTCTACCCAAGCTAATCCACAACGTTGCTAGATTCAATATAATTTTTTTTAGAGAAAAATATGGTTTTATTACCATAATTTCAATAAAAAAATAGATCTGATATGTTGTTATGAATGACCGAATTAGTTTACTTGGCTAAAATTTCGATATAATTACAATAACAAAAAACATTTTAATATTCCGCTTGTTTAAGAATTATCGTTAATTATTCGACCTCACTAATCGCAATCTCCAAAAGTATAGGAACTTAATTTTTCTACTTGCCATCACCGCACGGCAGGTAATGTCAACCCCTTCGAATGTATATCTGACACGAAATAAAAGCTCCTTATAAAAATCCATCGGCCGTTCGGAGGCGGCTCAGAATGAACTGTAGGTTCCTCTATTTGTTGGAAAACATCAAGACGCATACAACAAATCGGAGGAGATGCTCGGGCGAAAATCTGTTCAGCGGTCACAAACTGTCAATTATAAGTAATCGAAAACTTTCTTGGCTTATGAAAATCTTGATTAACCTTGCCAACTTAACTTTATTCGAGAGTACTCGTACATAAAATCAAGTATCTTTTTTTTATTAGGCTGTCCGTGAGCAAGGATTGAGATATTTTGATGGAACTTGGTTCCATAATTATAAGGGTCTCAAGTACGGTCGCTTTAGCAAATGGGCGATATCGGCCCAACGTTTAGTCTGGGAGTACTAAAATATGACCAGTTGATTTATGAACGATTCCTGACTGCATAATTTATTGAAAAGAAATTTAATGAAGTGGGCATAGCGGTGGTGCCAATGGCGGGACAAAAAGTATATCTCAGAAACCACTAGACAGTATTAGATAAATGTTGACACTTCCCAGTTCCAAAGCGCCTTTAACTCATGAACGATGCCTTAATTAATAGAAGTCACCTTAACTTGGTAGGCAATGCTATTTTAACAAAGACCTATCAAAAATGGCTGCCAGCCAGGTCTGGAAAAAGACCTAAATACCATCAAACATACACTTTTTTTGACTAATCTGTGGACATAATATAAATGTCAGCCGAGTATCTAATTCCATCCGAACTTAGTCTTCATTACTTTCTTTTACCTTTCAAGGCCTTATGGTTTATTGGAAGTAAGCTCGAGTTGCAGGAAGACGCAATGTAAATTTTCGAGCTCCCTCAATGCATTAAATATATGTACATAGTTATTGATATAAGCCCTCCAAAAGAACATAACACACTCTAAGTTAGAGCAAATGAAAGATGTGTAAATTCCTTCTGACTAAAAAAAAATATTGTGATTTTTACTACACCCAACGACAGTGACAATTTATGCCTTTTTCTCGTTAAATCCAGTCTTGTCAGAACTTTTTATACGCCCAACCAGCTAAATGGTCCTTACTAATCAAACTAATGTGTGGTGTTTGCAAAACTAAGAAATCGTCGTGTTTTTGCTCCTGCTATTTCGCTCAAGTCTCTAAAGGCTGCCGATGTAAGGATTTTCTACCGAAGTCGGTAATTGCTTTCTTGAAAATAAATTGTACCATTTTCCCAAATAGCTTTTATAAAAAAAGATTAGGATAATTTAGAGTAATTAAATCTAAAATCATTGAGAAAATAAATTGAGCTTTTCCATAAATGGAAAAAAAACTTCTAAAATATTTATATTTAAACACCGAGAAAAACTAGTAAATCTAGCAAGAAAAAACTAGCCTAGCGACATGGTTATTATCGTCTCTGTTAAACTCAATTTTTTGGAAATTTTCGATTAAAGAACCAATGAGTGATGGGATTCCTATGATATTGTGAATTAAATTCATGTCTCTAGTCTGAATACCCCTAATATTGCTTAGAAATTTCGGAATGGGTCTTACAAATTTCTACACCTCTCCGTTTGTATGTATCTCTCATATCTCTCATATGAAGATTTCATTAAGCCAATGAAGAAAACATAAAATGTGAGCAATTCAAAAGCGACGGATGCTATTAATTTATAAATATTTCACTTAAGTGGTCAACTGTGATTTCTCCAGCGCCAAAAGTGCATTTGCACAGACTACGTTTTATTCACTTTGCTACTATTATCTTATGATTCAATATCATAACAAACACTCAAGTAATTTTGTTGGATATAAGTATGCGCATCCGTAACAGCGTAGCGTTTTTATTCAGAACCAGTGGGGGGCTAATGTAAGGAGACAACTGAAGCGTGGAAACAATATACTACTATTAAACATGACACGAGACTGAAGCTACTTAAGCGAATTCTAAATAACATCAAATTGAATTAAATTAATTCGTGGTTAAATTATAGACCAAACTGAAGAATTTTGACAGTAATAAAAAACACGAAACGTGCTTCAGCTGTTTAAACCAGTATTGTCAAAAAGATAATAGCTAAAAAATCACCCTTTACTTCAGCGAATTCTAAATGACATTTTTTTTTACTTTTAAACGCAGTAAATTATATTAAAAAAATAAGATAAAAAATAAAAATATGTTTGTATTTATCAACTGTTTGTATCATACTTACGATTTCAATTTTCTTCTCATTTACAGAAAGTGTTAAATCCATACTGGGCCGTCACACAAAAATTTTGGTCAAATATATGGTTAAATTGGAGACGAAAGGTGATAAAACCGAGAATCGCGTTTTGGTAAGTTTAGCCTCATTGCTAGCATTTGCACATCATACAATACATTATTGTAACTAATAAAATTTCGCTTACCCTTTCTGCTGAGTCGTGTAATTTGCAAAAAGTAAAGTAGTAACCACTAATGGGCGACCTTGTCCGCCTTGTTCATGTGTGAATGACACTCCCAGGCATAGTGTTCCATTGTAGGTGTCATATTCTTTTCTTGTGGTTAATTGAATGCAAACTCACGTACATACATATCTAGGTATGCTAGTGTGTCCACAAAAACTTTATACCCTGTAGGGAAATGAAATTATGAGGAACTAAAGTTTTAAGTGAGAACTTAGAACCTAAATATTTGCAAATTCAAAATTTTATTTTTTGAAGATTTTTAATATTATCAGGTGTACAACTTTCCTCCCGCCGTTTTTTTCCAAAATTAAAAGCTCTATTGCGAAAAAGTGCTTACAGATATATTATTCAAAGTATTTTCCTTCGCTAGCGACAACTTTCTCCCATCTTTCCGGCAATTTTCGGATCCCGGCTCGAAAAAAGGAGTCCTCTTTTGACGCTATCCATGAAGCAATCCATTTTTCCAATTCTTCGAAGGATTGAAAATGTTGATCTGCCAGGCCGTGTGCCATCGAACGGAATAGGTGGAAGTCAGAAGGGGCGACACCTGGGGAATACGGCGGGTGGGGCAAGACTTCCCATTTCAGCGTTTCCAGGTATTTTTTTACCACTTTTGCGACGTGAGGCCGAGCTATGTAGTATTGGAGGATGACTTTGTCATGTCGCTCTTGATATTTTGACCGCTTTTCTTTTAGCGCGCGACTAAAGCGCATCAGTTGCGTTCAGTAGCGATCTCCTGTGATGGTTTGGCACGAATCTTCATCAAGCAATGCTTCTAGTTGTTCATCTTTGAAGGTTTTTTCTCTTCCACCACCATGTTTGTCTTCGACATCGAAATCACCATACGTTGAAACCACTCCCGACATGTTTTTTCACTCAGAGCAGCATCACCGCAAGTTTCTGAGAGCATTCGATGCGTTTCAGCTGCATTTTTTTCGAATTGTAACAGAAAAGTTAAACTTCTCGCAAATGACGAGAATTAGGCACATAAACGGACATTTTCGGGCGTGAATAATACGAAAACAAGAACAACTGTCACTGAAACGGCGATGACAATTCGTTAGGCACTGTCCACACTCACTTTAAAGGCATTATCATCTATAATATTTCAACCAGCCTCAGCCGGTACAGCCACTTATCGGAAAACGGCGGAAGCAAAGTTGTACACCTGATAATTAAATTAACTAATTTAAATTTACATCGCTCGACTTCAGCAGCGTTGGCTTATTGTTCTGCAGATAGATTTACCCGAAAGTATTTCTAACACAATCGTAATTAAATGAAAAAATGGTTTTATTTTTTGAACATTTTTGTTTACATTACTCCCATTCAATTTCCTCTTGGGTAGGTTTTTGTATTTGTTTTTTGTTTTTGTATTTATGACACTTTCAGCAGCCAATCCACAATTAAATTGTCATTAAGATGACATGAATATGCGTTGACACATGTTGAGTTATTTGATATCTAAGTTGAATTTTTACATGGACATTCATATTCAACTTTTTTGTAAAGTATACTCACACACATACGTGTGCATACACAATGTACAAAATCAGCATAAACATGCACAGTGTGCCATGGCTACTTTGTGGGGGTGCCAGTTCATTCGTGTGCTCGTTGTTGCGGTTAAAAGTGCAAAGAGTTGCATTGCCGAATGTGGTGACGGAATGAGTGCAACTGCTTCTGTTCAATTAAACACATATTAACATATGGAAAATAGCAGAGAAAAGAGAAAAAGAATAAACTGCATAAGTACAATGAGTTTAGGAGACCAACCAGCAGCGTTAACTCTCGAGAATTCTGAGAAAAGGTGTGAGAACTTATTGAAAGTTTCAATCTCGGACATATTCTTGTAGGACGATGAAAGGCGATCTGGTTACTGACAGTCTTATGTCTGTTGAAATGGTACGCAGAAAAATCCGTACCGAAAATCCTAAGCGATGATGATGACATATACGTTTTTTCCTTCGATTATGACTACTTTGTTATTTTTTTGTCTGCCTTAAGAACCACAAAAGATTTACTTGAAGGGTGAAAAAGCCAGTGTCAGTTCCCATGAAGAATAATGTTTAAGAAAGCATGCCTGCAGTCACTGATTGGAAAATATCAGTTAGGCTTTAGGCTTGTGAGATACACAAGCTGGCATCTACTTCCCTATTACCGACTGATAACGGAAAATACAAGGGAAGAAAAGGACGGCCTGCACTCCAGATCAGTTGGCGAGCAACATGACTTCACTTGTTGTCTTCAATTGGCACAGAGAGGCCTTAGGATCTTTTCTCATAGAAATTCAGTCAAGGCTTCGTTTTAAATTAACTATCAGATAATCAGATCAATAGTGCGATTCTGTAACTTTATCGACAGGATTTGTCGGTTCGCAAGTGAATTTTGTTATGCGATACTCTAACTCAGTTGTTACGATAAAAGATAACACAGATTTACATTTTATCAAAATAAAAGGTAGGTGGTACCACACAAATAAATTTGTTATAGCAATTATTAATCAAATTGCAGATAAATGAATGCAGCCACAAACTACAAATTTTGATTTCTACAATTGCATATGAAACACATCCAAATTTTAATTTTTTTTTACATCAAATCGCGCCTAAGGATCTTGAAAGTTGTGAAAAAAATTGCTACGACTGCCGGTGCCTTTATTATTTATGTTTATTTTAGAGTTCGTTCGTCCGCATGGAATTTTGAGATGGTTCTAATAAAATGCGGATAAAGCAACAACATATATTGGATGAGTGCATAAGTTCGTGCCCGATTTCAAGTGCAAACTAAAATTGAAATTTTTTGAAGAAAGCACTTTTATTAATCAATTATGTATTCGCCATCATGTTTGGCAATCCACTCCCAACGTTCAACCAATTTACGGATGCCTGATTCATAGAAATCGCGCGGTTTCTCGTTGAAAAAGGTGTCAAGGTGGTTTTTGACGTCTTCCACATTTTTAAATTTTTTTCCATTCAAATTGTTCTGCAGCGATCGAAACAAATGATAATCAGAAGGTGCAATGTCGGGTGAATATGGGGGATGCGGCATGATTTCCCAATTCATCTCCTTCAGTTTGGCCAGGGTCGGTTTTGCAACATGTGGCCTGGCGTTGTCATGATGGAAAAGAACTCCTTTGCGATTGGCCAAAATCGGACGTTTTTCATCAATTGCTTTCTTCAATTCGACCAATTGCTGACAATACTTGTTGGCAGTGATCGTTTCTCCAGCTGGCAAGAGCTCAAAATAGATCACGCCTCGGATATCCCACCAAATGCACAGCAGTACCTTCATCGGATGCAATCCACCTTTCGACATCGGTTCCGCCCCTTCGTGTGCCTGTTTCCATGTTCTTTTGCGTTGAACATTGTTGTACAGGATCCATTTTTCATCACCAGTCACGAGCCGATCCAAAAAAGGTTCGTTTTTGATCCGTCGAAGCAAAGAAATTGCTGTTGACATACGGTCCACTTTGTTTTTTTCACTCAACTGATGTGGCACCCATGTATCGAGCTTCAAAGTGTACCCAACCTTTTTTAAACGACGAAACGCAGTTGATTTGTTGACGTTCAATTCACTGGCAACCTCTTCCGTCGAAATACGTGAGTTATTCGCAACTAAAGTCCTTAGAACATCGTCATCAAGCTCAGAAGGCCGTCCACTGCGAGGTTGATCTTCGAGGTTAAAATCTCCAGAACGAAATTTCGCGAACCATTTCTTTACTGTGCGGAGTGCTGGAGCACGGTCCAAATAAACTTCGCGAATATCTTTAGTTGCAGCGCCTACTGTTTTTCCTTTGCGGAATTCGTATAACATAATATGACGCATATGATCTTTTTCGTTGTCCATCTTCCATGCGTCTTTTCACTAAGCAACTCAAATCAAAATGAAGTTATTTTATGCTTGATTTACAGCTCAGACTGTCAGCTTTCCAACGATATATAATATGTATATATTTCTTTCACGAGCGCCACTCTCAAACGATTCGAACGGCATCCAGGGGGATCGGGCACGAACTTATGCACTCAGCCAATACTAAGAGCCTTATGTTAGGTGTGGTAAAAAGAAATCCATTATTTTTTCCAATACATGCCGTTATTTATTTGTATCTCGCTTTGTATAATTCCGATTGAGTTCCGTTGATGGTATTAAAAAGATGACATTTCAGCCTTTCTGACAGTTTTGTGTTTGGTTGATTCAAGAATGGACACAAGCAAAGACAAAATACGCTATATTTTACAGTTCTTTCTTCGGTAAGACCAAGCCAGGTGACTGAAAATGTAAATAGCGTTCATGGTCCTGATATTGTTACAGTCAATCATGCACAATTTCGGTTTAATTCCGGTAATTCTTTTGTAAAAGACCCTTCACGGAGGAGAAGGCCAATTGTCTAAAATGTTGACAAAATCATGGGAATTGGCGAGTCCGACCGTCATGTAAGCTGAGCTAAAGATCGCACAAAAAACGCTTGGAGTCATTTGAATAATGCTGAATACGAAAAGTAAAAATTAAAGCCTTTAATTTCATGCAAAAATAATGGATTCCTTTTTACAACACCTAATATTTATATTACGGGTTTTCCTCGACTTCGTTTGTATGCATGGTTTTTACGGTTTTTATTTCATTATAACCTATATTCTATTATACAAATAGGATCCATCTAATTGATTTCAGGCCTATTTTATAGAAGAAAAGGGTATCCGTCGTTCATTTAGACAAATTTCAAATTTCATGGAAATCGAACGCTTCAAAAATTGTTTCGATTTTTTTGTACAGATCGATCCTAGGTCAATATCATATGCAGTACCCACTCCAAGTTTCAGATCTCTATGATGAATGGTTTAGGCTTTTTGGTCCAAAATTGTGAGGTGTCACGCCCACCCGAAGTT